TGCCAACGGCAAGTAGGTGGTGCAGTAGATAGAGCACCAGACCTGCGGTCAGAGAGATTCATCTTTATGAGTTAAAATCCAGCCTCAGACACTTGCTAGTGGTGTGACCCTGGGCAAGTCACTTACCCCTGTTTGCCTCAGTTTCCTCATCCGTAAAATGAGCTGGAGAAGGAAATGGCAAACCACTCCAGTATCTTTGTCAAGAAAACCCCACAAGGAGTCATGATGAGTTAGACACTACTGAAATGACTGAACAACAGCAACACAATGTGTCACATTATGCTAAGTGTGACACAAATTTAAAAAAAAGAAAGAAAGAAATGCTTGTCCTCTGCTCTCAAGCTAACAATCGAATGAGGGAAGACAATATCCCAAAGAAAGCTGAAAAGTGTAGGGTGAGAGAGGTATTTGGTATAGGGGAGTGATGGAGACTTCAAAGAAATCCAAAATGAGTGTGGTTGGGTGGGAAATGAAGAGAAGTCTGAGAAGATGTCTGTCCTGTTCTTTCTTCTTAAATGGAGTTTATGGCTTCACCCTCCAATCAGAGGGGCAGAGGGTACTGATGAGATATGAGTAGCAAAGCTGATTGGATCTTGCAAGACCATGAGATTTCCCAATGATAAATTTACTGAGGATTTGGTGGAGAAATCAAAGAAGTCTAAAATGAGTACAGCAGGTAGGAAATGAAGACGTGTCTGAGATGGCTTAAGATTCCTATAAATGTTACCTGAAATTTTCTTAGGGCAGAGTCAAGTCAGAAGGCATGGAGGACTCTGTAGGTTTGGATACCTCTATCTCCAAACTAGCTTTGAAAGCCACATGTTGAATTTGTTAGAAAAGAAAAGGCCAGGGGCAGCTAGGTGGTGCAGTGGATAGAGCACTGGCCCTGAAGTCAGGAGGACCTGAGTTCAAATCCAGCCTCAGACCAAACACTTGACACTTACTAGCTGTGTGACCCTGGGCAAGTCATTTAACCCCAATTACCTAACCAAAAAAGAAAAAAAAAGAAAAGGCAAGTTATCAGAATAGAGATTCACAGTTTCATGTGCAATGCTTTCTTTTCTGTTCTACTGGGTATATGGAAACGTTCATTTTATTTGCTCTTAAGTTCAGCATATTTTCAAAGATACTATGCTTGTTGGAGTTGTGGTATATGATTGTGGTGGAATACTATTGTGCTGTAAGAAATGACAATGGTTTCAGAAAAACCTGGGAAGACATACAAATTGATGCAAAGTAAAGTGAGCAGAAACAGGAGACTATTGTACACAATTAACAGCAAATGATCAACTGTGAAAGACAGCTACTCTGATCAAGACAATGATCCAAGATAATTCCAAAGGATCCAGGATGAAAAATGCTATGCACCTCCAGAGAAAGAACTGATGAACTCTGAGGGCAGAATGAAGCATACTTTTCTTACTTTATTTTTCTCATTTGTGTGTATGTATATGCGTGTGTTTTCTTTCACAACATGGCTAATATGGAAATGTTTTACATGACTTCACATGTATGATTGATGTTGTATTGCTTGCATTCTCAAGGGGTAGGGGAAGGCAGAAGTAAGAGAAAGAATTTGGAACTCAAAAATTTTTTTAAATGAATGTTAAAAAATTTTTACATGTAATTGGGAAATATTTAATAAAATAAAATAAATTTTTTAAAAGATACTATGCTTGTTAGTTACAAAATTTTTGTTTTTTAAATCTGGGAGAATATTGGGAACAAGACATGCAAGGATAGTAAGACAGGAAAAAAATGAGAGCATCAATGAAACATTTTTTAAAGTGCCCAAAGCTGAATGGAAATTGGTTCAGAAGAAAACAGACAGATGGGACAGCTTTGGAACATGTTAAATGTCCTTATATACTTTAAAAAACTAAGCTGTACATAATGGCGATTTGTTCTTAGTATAATTTTCTTTTTCTGTTCTTTATATATGGAAATGCAAACTGATATTTGTGAAATTCAGAATAACAAAAAAAGTAATTATTTTTAAAAATAATAAATTATGAGTAACTTTTAGCAGAGAGATGAGACCTACTGGGGACAGAATGTTGTATATAGTATTAGATATAGTCACAATATATCGCTTGTTACTCTTTGTGACAAATGAGGATTCAATCTAAGGAGGAGGAGGATTTTCCCTTCAGAATTGAGTTATCTAGGAACAACATCTCAATAAGCTGTAAGGTTTTAAACTGAGGGACAATTGAGGAACTAATTTTATGTGACCACGGAAAAGTCATTTCCCTTTTCTAGAATTTAGTTTCCTCCTTTATAAAATAGAATGTTCTTTCCAGCTCTAAATTCTTTGATTCTAAGATTTTAGGTGACCAGATCAAGAAACAGGATAATAACTAAGTCTGGAGCCACCCTGCTGCCAACATTAGCTAGCCTTAAAGCAGAACTTGTACCAGTTGGGGAAAGGTTCAGGGGGAAATCAGCAGCTCAGCATTAGAACTTCCTACCTTTGGGACTGTCCCACCATAGACATTGGCATGGATAGCCTCAGGAGGCAGTGGGTTTCCTGTTCCTGGAAGTATAGCTGGATGACCACATGGTAGGGACACTGGAAAATGGCTTCCTGTTCAGGTGAGGGTTGAACTAGATGACCTCCAAGGGCCATTCCAACTCTAAGATGCTATAGAAGTTTCCCCAAAGGAAAACTGGGTTTGAGAGCCCGAGTGGCAGCACTATCCTTCATATTCTCTGCTGCTCAGATCACAAGATTCCCAATAAAGCCACGGAGCAAGGCAGTGAAGGAGGAGCTGCCACCAGGTGGTTTTGAGAAGCAAGGGAAGGCTGAGTGAAGTGAGCAGAGCCAAGAGAACATTACATACAGTAACAATAACATTGTGTGATGACTAACTTTGATGGATTTACCTGTTCTTAGCAAAGCAAGGATCTAAAACAGCTCCAAAAGACTCATGATGGAAAATGCTACCCACCTTCAGAAAAAGAACCATGGAGTCTGAATGTAGATTGAAGCATACTATTTATTCTCTTTTTTGTTGTTGCTTCTTCATGTGGTTCTTCCCATTGGTTCTAATTCTTCTTTACATGACTGATGTGAAAATAGGTTTACTATGGATGTATATGTAGAGCCTATATCAGATTGCACACAGCCTTGGGGTAGGGGGAGGGGAGGGAGGGGGAGAAAATTTGGAACTCAAAATCTTACAGAAGTGAATGTTGAAAACTAAAAATAAATAAATGGTTTTTTTTAAAAGAAGCAAGGGAAAGGGAGCAAGGAGGTCAAGGATAGTAAGGCAGTACTAGTAAATAGTAAGTAAAGCAGCTTCATTTAGCAGAAATGGTAAATGAAATAGTTTCATTTAATAGAAATGGGGAACCAGGAGGTCCGATATCCTTCTCATTTGCAGCCCATAGTTTGAAGAGGAAAGAAGCAAAGGCTTAATTAATTATTAATTTTTCCCCAGAATAAAACAGCCAGGCTTCTCCCCACCCCCAGAAAACGGCTGGGGGCAAAGAGATGAGAGGAAGGGGGTGAAAGAAACTGCTTCCATAGCTAAAACCCCATTTTCTGCAAGTAGCTTTTCTCTATTCTCCTTAACACTAGTGTCTTCCCTCTGTTGATTATCTCCAGTTTATCTGTGTATTTCTGTATATACCTGTATATGTCTTGTTTATACACAGTTACTTTCATGTTGTCTCCCACATTAGACTGTGAGCTCCTCAAGAGCAGGGACTATGTTTTGTCTTGGTATCGCTAGGGTTCAGCAGTCCCTGGCACACAGTAGGAACTTAATACTTGTTGACCAGATGCTTCTCAGAGGGAAGGAGGTCCCTGTGCGCCTTGTTCACAGCCTGATGCATGTCTCCAGAGGACAATTGATGCCTAGAAGGCGTGGCTTTTTCCAGTCTCATCCCTTCCTGAACCTTAGACCCTGCACCCTTTGCCTCAGGCCACTCCTCACTCAATCCTCTCTAGGGCTCAGTTAGAAGCGGCACTGGGACTAGCTCACCAAACTGATAAGTTGAGACCTCTTTTCAAGAAGTCCTATCCCTGTAAGGCCTGTGCCCCTCCCCCAGAGAAAAAAAGAAAGGAAAGTAGAGGAGAAAGAGCACAGGAAAGGTAGAGAAAAGTGAGGGCTGGGTGAGAGAAAGAAGAGGGAAGGAAGAGGAGGGAAAGAGAGAAAGAGTTGAGAAAAGGGAATGTAATAAAATGTCTGAGGAATGAAGTGGAAAGGAAAGGAAGTAGAAAAAAAAAGGGAGAATACGAGAGGGAAAGGAATGAAGTGGTCGTACCAGAAAAGGGCTGGGATAAGCTTGGCATTCTCAGTTTGTCACCTCTAAAAAGAGCCAGTGCATGGAGTGAAGAGAGTTCTGGACTTCTGCAGCTGAGAGACCCAGATTCTTACAGTTGTGTGACCTTGAGCTTAAAATACTTTGAAGTTTTCTGAGCAGTTTCCCCTCTTTGAGAAATTTGGGCAATAAAAATCCTGGCCCTTCCTTCCTCAATAGATTGTTGTGAGGATGGATATAGGATTCTTACCAAAGGGAGTTTTTGCTGAGGGAGGACGATGACTTCAAAGACCAGGAGAGAGAAGCCCACCTTCTGGGGTGGCCAGGGGCCTCCCAGTCCTAGTTTTAGTTGGGCTCTGTGTCCTACCCCAGACAGCTGTGAGGAGTCAGTGAAGGCACACAGGGTCTGGCCTAGCCAGAACTCCCAACTCCAGCTCCCTATCCTCTATACCTGGAATGCTCTCCCTTCTCACCTGGATCTCCTGGTTTTCCTAGCCTCCTTCCCGGCAGCTTGAATTCCACCTTCTCCAGTAGGCTTTTCAGGGTCTGCCATGATCCCCTTACTAGTTAATATCTTCCCTTTCAGATTATCCTCTATTTATACTGTATATATCCTGTATATAGTTACTTTAATGTTGTTTTCCCTCCCCCTTCCCATAAGAATGTGAGCTCCTTGAGAATAAAGACAAACGTTTTTGACTTTTTTTTTTTTACTCCCCAGAGGTTAATTGGATATGCCTGGCATACAGTGCTTAATAACAAGGCTTCTTTCAGAAGCCTTTTCCAATCCCTAATCCCAATACTTGTTTTCTGTACTGGCCTGATCTTCCAGGACTTCAGAACCCCACTATATTCTGGGAAGATGGCACTAGGGTTGATGCCAGACTCGCTGGCATTTATTTGTTCTGGAGGCAGCTGTGAGTCTAGTCGTGCATGAAAACATTCAGAGTCCTGCTTTGGCTGTGAGATTGCCCTGAATCTCCATGGCTCTAATCACTGGGTCAGAAGGATGAGTGTCCCTAACTTCCAGCACCACAATTCTAAATAAGCACTTGCTCTAGGCAGTCCTCTAAAAGGGGAAGGTCACCCGCTCTGGGCAGCCAGAGAGTGAGGCCCTGGGTGGCCCCAAATCCACCCTTTTGTCCCACTTCCCAGAACAGGGCTCGGGCTACATTACATGTATATTTATTCCCCGCCTCTCGTCGCTGGCTCCTGGCATCTTAGATACCCTGGAACCGCAGGCTCCTGATAAGATGGTGAGCAGTTTTGTTGAGTGTGCCCCCGTGCACGCCCCGTCGGCCCATGAGCACGATCAGGGCCTTTGGCGTGAGTCCCACGCACACAGAGCGACCATCCAGCCCCTTGGTCCGGGCGTCCAGAACACCATCGCCGTCTTCTAGGAGGTGGTCGCGGATGACGCAGCAGCGTCGGCCTGCCAAGGTGATCCCAGACTGCAAAAAGCTGCGGCGGTCAGGGCCTGTCAGTATGCCCACCTCCTGAGGGGTGATAGCAGCCAGCAGGCCTCCAGGCCTCGAGGCCCACACGCAGCGGTTGTCCGAATGCCCCACCACTGCCACGTCATCGATGCGCTGGTCCCGCAGTACGGCACTGATGTATGTCTTCCAGTCGCCCATTGCAGGGAGATAGAAGACCCCCTGCCCTGCTCCCTGAACCCCCGGGGGTGTCCTAGCGCCTACTGCTGCTCTCTCGGTTACCGCTGTGATGTCAGCGTCTTCTATGACACCAACACCCACTGTGATAAATTTGGTCTGAACTCACGTCTCCTACACCTTCCAGGACTTGTTTGGGGCCAGAGAATAGACAAATCCCTTTAGTGCCCCACGGCGCTGAGAGAAGATCCAGAAGCCAAGGTAATGCTATCTCACACTCTTCATTCTAAGCCCACCCCATTACCAGGGCCCCACTGGCCCGGAGTGCCCACCCCAGGGGAAGTTAAACCCAGAGTCTTTTAGGAGGCAGTGTTCTCCCGGATCCATTCTAGATAACTGGCTACGTTGGCGTAGACTCCAGGCTTGTTTCGGTTCCCACAGCCTGAGCCCCAGCTCACCACTCCGCGCAGAGTGAGCTGATCCGCTGCCTCTTCGCACACAAGCGGTCCCCCGGAGTCGCCCTGGGCCATCGACATATTAGTTCTTTGTCCCTGCCTCTTGCCTCCCCGCTCCCCTTTTCTTGTGACCTGTTTCTCCTCTCACCTGGCAGGCATCTGTGCCCCCTTCCAGGAAACCGGCGCACAGCATGTCCTGGGTGACAGTTGTCCCATGCACTTCTGGGTCTGAGCAGAGCTCGTAGGAAATGATCGGAAGCTGGGCTTCCTGCAGGTAACTAGAGTAGTCCTCGGCCCCTGCAGTGTAGTATGGCAGGAAAGGTGACCAGACTGTGTTCTTTGGTAGGGTGATGGGGTGGAGGGCCCAATCAGAGCCCTCCAAGGGCAGGGTCTACGCGCTGCCACCCTCTTCCACCGGTTGTGTTTGGGACTCACATTTTCTTCCTACCCTTCGTTTCATCTCTCCCCCCACCCCAATCCTGAGTCCTGTGCCCAAGGAAGTCATTCCCAAAATGTCTGAGCAGCAGAGCCGTTTAAATCTATAGGGAGCCAAGGACTCTTTAAGACTCAAACAAATGCTGGAATTTCCCTGCACCAGAGCAAGGCCCCCCAAATCATGTTGGAAAGTCATACAGCTCTTGAGGATCTATGACCCCTTTTACCCCTCTCCCACAGGATCATAAGGATTCTGAGCTAGCAAGGGACCTTAGAGGGAATAATCCTCTATTTTACATGTGGGGAAACTGAGGACCAGAGAGTAGAAGTGACTTGCCCAAGAACACCCAGTTAAGTAGAGGTCAGGGCCAGAGAGGCCTCAGAGCTCTCTCACTTTCAAATCTGAAATATTTTCACTACATTAGGTTATCACCGCCCATGTTTACATTACCAAAGCTCTTTCCCATTTTTTTTAAACCAGACCTTAGATTTCATCAGTGCAAGGAAATCCCAGTCAGTACACTCCTTCCACCAACACAGATTAGCACCTGCTCTCCACCTTACAGTCTTAGAAATAAAGTTGCTGCTCTGTGACAACTGCTGTGCCCAAGGTCACACAGCCTACTGGTACCAAGCAGAGAGGCAAGAGAGGAATATGGACTTTCAAAGCCAACTCTGTCCACTCTGCAGCTGTACATGCCATCTTTTGCCATCTATCCCCTCACACTAATTTGACCTTTCATTAGCCACCCTTTTAAGTAAGGCCCCTTTCTTGCCTCATCCCAGGTCATCTCCCGTGCGGACCCAGGTGAGGGAAAAAGCCATCTTCACTGCCCTCTGTTTACTGACCTTCATACTGGTGACCCCAGCCAGCTACCTGGCAGCTCAAGGCGTCACTTGGAGGCTCCGAAGTATCGGGGAGGCACACTGGCTGAACGAAAGGCGTGAACTGCGCGCAACTGCCGTTCTCTGTCTCCTGCAGCCGCACCAGCGCTAACACCCCAGAAATCGACCAAGTCAGAGCTTGAGCGCTACTGGGGTTCGGGTCCGGGACTCCGCGTCTCCAACCCCTTTTCCCTGTCTAAGGGGAACACTGGGGTACCGCGTTGGACTGAGGCCATCCTCTTGACCCTGGGCGACTCGCCCGAACCTACCAATATCGTTCTGGAACGTGTCAGACCGGAAGCTCTCGTGCAGACGGTATTCACGCACCGAGAATTCCTGGCACTGCGGACAGCTCTCGTTGTATCGCTCTTGGCCCAGAATCACAGTCAGCAGTTCTGGGTCAGGCCTGTGGGAACACTGGCTGGCAGCTTAGACAACCCAGGTCCCACCTCCTACACAACCCCCTGCTCCTCACCTCCAGTCGGACCCCCAAGTCTGATCCTCATACCCAAATCCCTGAACCTCCCTACTTGGACGGGACAAAGGCCAGAGCGAGGAATCTCCAAGCCTTCTCTTTCCGTGTCCATAAAGGGATCTAGCTTTTCCCATCCCAAGCTTAAACTCTCTTGCTGCCCAGGTCTCCTCCTCTGGATTACTCTCCCAAAGGAACAACTAAATCTTGGGGTGGTTCCAGCCGAAGAGCCCTGGGTCACGCACCTGCTCTCCAGACAGTGTGCTGCTGTGAGAACCCAGCAGGCGCTAATGAGGCTGCCACCACAGAAGTTCTGGTCCAGGTAGAGCGCAGCTATGTAGGGGTGTGCCCCTGGTAATGCTACCAGCCCTCCCACAACGCGAGTCAGCCCAGAGAGCCTCTTCTTTTGTCGCTGGCCACAAGCCACAGAGTCAACCTTCCTCAGAGAAGGCTGGGACCCGAGAGGCTCCCTGGGTGATGCTGGAAGAGACCCAAGCACCATACTGATGACTGATGCCCACCAGAGACACTGATATCTGCACTCACCCTATGGCCTCTCTGTGTACCCCTTGACCTGCCTGTGATCTTATAGTAGTACCCCCTAACTTTTTACTGCCTGTCCCTGCCCCATGCCTTTGGATGGGGAGGGGAAGCCCCCAAAACTGAGATCCCTGCCTTCCTCTCCCCCCACCATGACCTACTCCATTGAGTTTTATCTTTCATAGTCTTTTCCCATCCTTTTGAAATCCCTTTGGTGTATACCCTCGCTTGACCGAGAACAGTTGTTACAAAACTAGGACTGAAAAGGGGGTCTTTGAAGCCATCTAGTGATTTGAGGGCCCTAACCTCTGCCTATCCAGTTTCCCTCATTGTGACTATCCTTTGCTTGTGCACACTCAGTGCCCTTTTTGCTGTTCATCCTGTGTTGTTACCTGCCCTATTCTTTCTGTGACCATTCTGTGATGGTACCATTTCTTCTGACAACTATCTGTAGCTTCAGTTTAATTCAATTCAACAATCATTTATTAAGCACCTACTACGTGCCAGGGCATTATAAAGATAAAATCAAAAGTCCTTGTTTTGTAATAGAGATTACATTCTACTCCTTGTGCCCTCTGCCAGTGCCTGCCCATATCTAATATTGGTGTTTATATTTATACTCATCCTCCTTCTATTTGCCAGCCTTGTTCCCTTAGTGCTCACACTGTGCCAACCTGTGTCTTTTGCCTATCCTAGTTATGTCCACATTGTAACCATTTATGTCATCCCCACACCTTTTATGAATGACAGCTTCATGCCAATGCCTATCTCCTGCTCTCTGTCCATGTTTGTCCCCATGCTAACCCCATTATTTCTCTCTGTGCCCACCAATATCCTCTTGTTCCTATCCTGTGGTTTCTGTTATCAACCCTGTGCCTTCTGCCTATTGCTGACCCATTTATATTGCTCTGTTCCTATTTCATGTGTTTTCGATGCCCACTCAGTGTCCCATTCCAACTGCCTGTACCCATCCAGTGATCTCTGCCTGCCCTGCCCATTGTCTTGTCAGTCCATGTGTTTCTCCTGTCTGGCCCAATCAGTGTCTCCTGTCAGTACTATCTTTATACCATACCTGCCCTCTTAGCTGTATCCAGCCACTCTTTGCTCACCTTGTACCCACTGATGCCCTCTGTCTGTACACTATGAATAAGCACCATGCTATTTTTTTGTTCCAAAGCCTATGCATACTTTGTGCCCTTGAATAGAGCCAGAAAAGGTTGTACCTTTTCTGTGCCCATCTCATGCCATAATAGTTGCCTGCCTTCTTTCTCTGCATGGTCTTTATTACTCCTTGTCCACCATGGAGCATCTCTAAAAGTTCTTTCCATGTTCATTCCATGCCCTCTACACCCAACCTGTGTTTACTTTCACTGCCAGGCCTATGCTTGCCCTGTACTTAATCTAGTGCCCTCCATCATAACCTGACTGTTCTTAGAGTCATGACTTCTGGAGCCTTGCCCACCTGTGTCCACTACATCCCTGTTTGCTGTGCCCTCTGCCTCCACACATTTGTTCAGACCTATGTCTCTGTGCCTACTCTGTCCTTTGTAACAGCCCTGGGCATCCCATCTGTGCTACCATTCTACACCCTCTGTAACCTGCTTTCTATATGAATTCCCCACCCCCTTTACCATTGAGATGAGGTTTTCCCCCTCTCCTCCCTCCTGGCCCCTATCCTACCTGTGAAAGATGATGGGGCAGGAGTAGTTGAGTCCTCTGATGCAATGGCTGGACTCTGAGTTGGTTGCTGGCATGTGGCCAGACTACAGTACTCCCAGCTCATCCGGGGCCCAGCATGAACAAAGCACCATGGGCTAGTGTCATTATCTGGGTTCCTGAAACCATATGTAAATGGTACGCAGTACAGGTGATGGTCTTCCCCATTTCACACTCAACAATCTCCTCAGTAACTTTTCTCACCTCTCTCCTGGTCTGGGCTCCACACATACTCCTCCCCAAAGCTTCACTCCCCTCTTCTTCCCTGGCTTTGCCTGAGCCTGCTCTCCTTCCCCACCTCTTCATTCCCCAGCCTGCTCCCCTCTTCTCATGAAAGCCCTACTCAACCCCAAGCCCTCCTCACCTGCAGTAGGGGTGATGGCCCAACCCCTTGGCCAGCACCTGTTTCTTGGGCAGATCTCGGAATGTGGCCTCTGAGGACCAAGGTTGGCATTGCTTTCCTGACAGCGTGGTCTGAGCTGTGCCCCGGTAGGTGAGTCCCCGACCATTATAACATTTCGCACTAGTGTCTAGGGTAAAGAGAGGCCATCCAGAAGTGGAAGGGCAAGGGGAGCCCCCCAAAACTGGGCTTTCTTCCTCCAGTTTTATAATTTCTCCCCATCCCCTCACTTTTTTTTTCTTTCCTTTGAGAGAGAAATGACCTGCATACAGCAAGAACTGCGACTAGAACCTGGGGGGTCTCATAGGTTAAAATGATAGAACTCCAAGCTAGAAAGAACCTTTAAAATCATCTAGTTTAATTTCCCTTGTTTTGATGTGGAAACCAATCCAATATTTGTTCCACTAGACCACATTCCCTCTCTCCTCTCCCTCTGTCAGCTTCTAAAAAGGGGAAGGGGAATGAAAACATCTCCCTGTGCTTCTCCCTTTCCATAGGCCCTAGTGATCACATCTCCCTTCAAACCCACCTTGAGCCCTGGCCTGAAAGGGGCCTGGAACCTACCTATTTCACAAAAGTACCCTGCATAACTTGGAGGACAATGGCAGACAGGCTGGCCCTCTGCCTCCAAGCACTTCCCTCCATGGAGACAGGGGTTATCCAGGCAGGCTGGGGAGAAGACAGAGTTCTCAGGATAATCTTCTGGAAGAAAGGGTGAGTGGCATCCCACTCCAGTGCTGACCAACCTCCCCCTACCAACAACTCTCCCAGAATCCTGAAATGGGTCTCATTTTCACAATGACCAGACCAGAACACAATGTCAGACCTGGATGGGACCACTGATCATAGAATGTTTACAACTGGAAGGACACTTAGAAAATAGTGTTAGATTTAGAAACAATCCAAGAACATAGAACATCAGAGGTAGATTGTATTTTAGAATATAAAATGTCAGAGTTAAAAGTTGGAAAAGACCTTAGAGCTTAGGATATGAAAGGTAGAGCTAGAAGGGACCTTATGCTAGAGCCAGAAGAACATAGTGTCAGATATAGAAGGTTCTGTAGAACTTTGAACCTTAGAGCTGGAAGAGACCTTAAAATACAGAACCCAGGAGAAATTTGGAACATAAAAGAAATCATGGAACATAGGATGTTTAGAGCTAGAAGGGATCAAGAAAAAGAACACAGGCTACTAAAGCTGAAAGGTATAGAATGGTGGAGTCTTAGAACAAAGGAACCTTTGGAACCTTAGAACAAAGGCCATTAGAGAGGGCAAGAACTTTAGAATATTAGAGAGGATGTACAAATAATGTTAGAATTTAAAGAGACCATAAGCCCCAGGAAGTGTCAGAGCTAGACGAGATCTTAGAACATAGACTCAGAAATGAAAGGGAGATTAGATAGTAGAACACAGAACAGAGCATAGAACACATCAGAGCTAGAAGGAACCTTAGGACATAGACTCAGAAGTAGAAGGGAGCCAAAAGAATAAGGCAGAGAACGTGGAATGTCATAGCTAAAAGGACCTTTCCAAAGAAACCTCGGAAAATAAAAGATTAGTGTCAAAGCTGGAAGGTCCCTTAGAAACCCTATAATCATGCAGGAGAGTTCAGAAGCTTCAGACACACACAGTAAATGCAAAGTCACCCCAAGCAATCAGTAGCCTATCTAGAACTCCAACCCAAGTCTTTGGACTTGGGGCTTTGTCCCTCCTCCACCCTCCCAGCTCCAGCTTCCCTGAGGCTGTGCCAGGCTAATCCTTACCCCGGCTGTGTGGCAGCCACCTGCAGTCAGCATTGGGGCCCTTACACCAGCACTTGGCCACTCTCGGTGGCTCTGCACGAAGCCATGTCTCATCTTCATCAAAGAACTGCCTCAGCTGAGGCTGGTAGCACTTCTCTGGGGGCAGAAAGCATGCTGCTTAAGAATAGGTTGCTGCTGTTTAGTCTTTTCCAACTCTTCATGACCCCATTTGGGGTTTTCCTGGCAAAGATACTGCAGTGGTTTGCCATTTCCTTCTCCAGCTCATTTTATAGATGAGGAAACTGAGGCAAACAGTGACTTGTCCAGGGTCACACAGCTAGGAGTTCTTTGAGACTAGATTTGAACTTAGGAAGATGTCTTCCTGACTCCAGGTCTCTATCCACCTCACCACCTTGCTGCAAGGGCCTATGCTAAAGGGCTATACAAAGAGTGAAGGTGTGCCAAGACATGCCAGTAACGGGACCCAAGAGGCAAGGACCCTCACTTAGGTGTTTATATGTCCCCTTCTCACATCTCTGAGATTGTGCTTGGTAGCACAATGGATAGCACACTGGACCTGAAGTCAGGAAGATCTGAGTTCAAATCCTGCCTGAGACACTGAACTAGCTATGTGACCCTGGCCAAGTCACTTGATCTCAGTTTTCTCATCTGTAAAATCATGTTAACAGTATGACCTCCCTTTCAGTGATGCTGTGAGAATACAATGAGATAATATTTGTAAAGCACTTTGCAAATGTCATAGCTCTTTATAATTTATAATTATGTTATCTATATATGTATGTATAAACGTGTATATATATGTGTGTATATATATATACATATATATATACATATATTATATATATATGTATATATATATAAAATACTATTATCATCTAGATTCTGACAGGATGAGGCCCCCAAGGGTAGAACCCCCTCCCCATACATAGGCCTTGGGGCCACCCTCCCCATGGGGGTGATTGTGTCGAGGACCCAGAAACCCAGGGTCCAGAGTCAGGCACAGTGGCCCTCAAGTGAATTGGCACCTTTTTGGCAGTGATGCCCGGTGAGGTGGGGGGCACAGAGGCAGCGAGCTCCATGAAAAGTGTTGATGCAAGTCCCGCCCTGGTGGCACGGATTGTGCTTGCAATGATCTGTGGACAGAAGGCTCTTGCATTTGACCACTGAGGATGCAGAGTCTCTGAATGGAATAGGATTGGGGCTGGGGGAGGAATGAAATCCAGGCCACAGTAGCCCTAGGAGGTTTCTATCTGCCTAAGGATTGAGATTGGAGACAGTCACCCCAGGGACCCTTCTTTTTGGAGAAGTGAAGCAGTATAAACCCTGAGCTGCATCCAAATTCCTAGCTTAGGAGTAGCGTGGGGGCAGTGGCCTGAGGACTTCCTGCAATGGAAAGAGAGGAGAGACCAGGGAAGAGGAAGGGAATGCAGCTCCACCCAAGGCACCTTTCACTTTCTTGGACTCCAGGCAATAGGCCCACTGCTGATCCCGATCATAGTTGTCTGTGGTTGCACACCTGCAGAAAGAAGGGGTCATCCCTGCTCTGCAGATCCAGATGGTATACCCACCCAAAAAGGCCCACCTCCAAAGTCCTGCCACAGGATACCACCACCACCACTGTACTTCAGGGAGAGAGGAGACCAGGAAGGCCTGATCTCCTGAGGCTTTTGGCCTGGGACTGGAAGATAATAACAGGACCCTTTCACTTCTCCAGAATTTAAAGATTTACAAATCTTTACGCTATCAATAAATCTGCAAGAAGGGAGGTCTCCTGAGGCTGTAGGCCTGAGACTGAGAGATAACGAGACCTCATTTCTCTAGAATTTAAAGATTTACAAATCTTTACACTGTCAATAACTCTGCCAGAAGGGAGTGCCTATGTCATTATCTACATTTTACAGATATGGAAACTGGGTCAGACTGGCCCCAGGCCGTACAACTAGTACAATGTCAGAGTAATATACATCACCTTCCCCTGTCTTCCCAGAAAAAAAAAAGCAGTTTATTTGAATAGAATAATATCCTCATTTGGGAGCCTTGCAGAATATTGTGACCAAGACAATACAGCCTAGCAGGAGAAGGGAGGTGAGGGGCTTACCAGGCGTGGGGTCCTGGACGGTCCCTCCTGGTACATTTGTGGTACAGCTGGCCTCGATATTGGAAGGGGAAGTAGCAGGGATCTCCGCTGGTCATGAGGACTGTAATTAACCCCCAAATGCCTAATGAGCCCCTACAGCATGCAACAAACCCTAGGTCTACCCTCCAGGGGCTAGAAGTCTGGTTAATGGGATAGGACATATGTCAAGTCAAGAAGCAAGGTTAAGCAGTATCAAAATGTGCCCATGCTAGGCATTGTGCTAAGTTGTTGGGGATACAAAGAAATGAAAAAAAAACCCGCAACAAAACCAGTCTCTGTTCTCAAGGAGCTCACAGTCTAATGGAGGTGACAACATGCAAACAAATATGCATAAACAATACACATACTGTATAAATTAGAAATAATCTAGGGGAAGGCACTAAGATTAAGGAAGACTGGGTCGGGGCAGCTAGGTGTCTCAGGGGATAGAGCACCCGCCCTGGAGTCATGAGGACCCGAGTTCAACTTCAGCCTCAGACACTTCTAGTTGTGTGACCTTAACCTTATTGCCTCTTAAAAAAAAAAAAAGACCTGGTCAGGTGTCTAGTAAAAGGTGGGACTTTAGCTGAGACTTAAAGGAGGCCAGGAGGTGGTAAGGAGGGGGACAGCCAATGAAAATGTCCAGTGGGGGAGAGGGAGGAAATTTAGAACTCAAAATCTTATTAAAGTGAATGTTATAAACTAAAAAAAAAAAAAAAGACTGAAGAGGAAGCCGGTTTGTCTTTTTGCTTCCTCTCTTCCCAGAGATGTTGTGGTCCTAAGACCTGTGTCTGAGTCCTTCTCTGTCGATTACTATGACTGTAGATAAGATATTTCAATTCCCTGAACCTCATTTTTCCTATCTAGGAAAAAAAAAAGGTGAGGGTATAATATACTTGAGCGAGCCATCTCATGTGGCTGTGGTAGGAAAATGGTAAAGCACCATATAAATGTGAGCTATGAGTAATAATGCAGTGGGGGCCATTCTGCCCCCTCTCTCCTTTGGAGTATCCTAGAGTAAATACTTTTACTAATTCTCACAAATTCTGCGGGAGTTTTAGGGGATCATCTGACTATATGTGACCCATCACCAATGTACTCTGAGAATATTCATTTGCCCCCAAACTCTGTAAAACAAAGATTTCTAAACCCAGCCAAAACTCACTTATTTAAAAAATAATAATTAAGAATAAAATTATACTTTCACAAAATCCTTCAGAAAGGAAGGAAGAAAGAAAGAAAAGAAGGAAGGAAGGAAGAAAGAAAGAAAGAAAGAAAGAAAGAAAGAAAGAAAGAAAGAAAGAAAGAAAGAAAGAAAGAAAGAAAGAAAGAAAGGAAGGAAGGAAGGAAGGAAGGAAGGAAGGAAGGAAGGAAGGAAGAAAGAAAGAAAGAAAGAAAGGACGGAAGGAAGGAAGGAAGGAAGGAAGAAAGAAAGAAAGAAAGAAAGAAAGAAAGAAAGAAAGAAAGAAAGAAAGAAAGAAAGAAAGGAAGAAAGAAAGAAAGAAAGGAAGGAAGAAAGGAAGAAAGAAAGGAAGGAAGGAAGGAAGGAAGGAAGGAAGAAAGAAAGAAAGAAAGAAAGAAAGAAAGAAAGAAAGAAAGAAAGAAAGAAAGAAAGAAAGAAAGAAAGAAAGAAAGAAAGAAAGAAAGAAAGAAAGAAAGAAAGAAAATGTCCAGTCAGGAGATGGAATGTCATGTGCAAGTAACAGCAACAAGTCTCTGGGTCACAGAGTACGTGGAGGAAGGTTAGGTGTATGAAGACTGGAAGGCTAGAAAGTGACTAGATTATGAAGTGCTTTAAAAGCCAAACAGGTTTTTATATTCCATTCTGGAAGTAATAGGGAGCCACTGGAGTTTGTCAAATGGAGTCAGGAAGGATGAGCTTCAGTTGTCCCCTGTTTTTTGTGACCCCATATAGAATGTCCGAGCTGAGAGAACATTTATAACATTGGATGTCAGAACTGGAAAGGATATTAATATAGACTATCAGAGCCGATTTGGTTCTATTGTATGGACAGTAAAGCTGAGTGATGGTTCTGGAAAGGTAGAGGATTCCACTGTGTTTCACTGCCTCTTTATTCATTCATCCTCCAAACATTCGAACGGCAGATTACATACAATAACAAAAACCCCAGTTATTACAATGTTTTGCAGTTTACGAATTTCCCTCACAACTTCAAGGTAGCACAAGTGTTACCTAGTGCCTAACAGCAATGCCTGGTACATAGCAAGAGCCTACGCATGTTGACTGATTTATTGCCAGATGTATAATAGGCACTAAGTACATGCTTATTGATTGATGGACTGATTACAAACGAGGAAACTGAGTACATCTCAGAAAGGTTAAGTGACCTGGTCATGTTCACATAAACAGTGAGTAATGGGCCTGAAAATGCTTCTCCATGTATTGTGTACTCCCCACAGTGCCTGGCACAGTTGCCTACACAAAGCAGGTGCTTGGTGTTTTCCATTTCACAAACTGGTAGCCCAGGTTGGGAGAGGGGAGTGGGACACCCAGAAGGAAGGAAGGAAGGGAGGGAGGCATTAGGAATGCAACAGGCATTAAGAAGGCACTGAGGGGTGTGGGTGTTTTGGCTGAGGAAGTAGAAAATCATCCTCCCTCCCTACTCATAATTACAATAATAGCAACTCATTTACATACCACCTCCAGACCTGGGCCTTCACTCAAAGACTAGGGCTAGAGTGGACAGTCTGGACAGCCAAACTCACCCCTTGGTCTTTATCCCAATCTGCCCTTTTGCTTTTTCCCAATGAAGGTCCTTCCTAGAACACCACCACCACCACCACCACCACCACCACCACTACCACTACCATTACCTCACCCTTGGCCACTCAGCCAGAAGTCCCACTGAGAAGACTCACCTGCTGTGGTCATGGGTTCTTTTGCAGTTTTCCAGGGTGGGACCTATAAGAAGTTAGGATGGGAGGAGGTAGTGCCACCTCAGTCTTGCCCCCCTAGGTCTCCTACTGCACCCTAAACTCTCTCTTCATTGTGTTTCCCCTACATATTTTCTTTTTGTCCTTTCTTTCCCCCAGCTCAGAGATCCACAGACCACTTTCCCACTCCACCCACTTCACACACAGTCAAACCACCCAGGTCAGGACCCCGAGCTTCCCCATTTTTTTTTCTCCCACTAAGCTCTGATTCATCCTTCTCAGTTCCCATTCTTGACTTCTTCACCTTGTGTTCAGTAGGCCCAGTGTGAGGAGCCTGAGCTCAACCTCACCCTCAGGCCAGTTTCAGAATCACAGAATCAGTATCACTCCTACCTGAATGAAATCCCCTCTATAACATGTCTGACAAATGGTCCCCCAGATTTTGCTAGAAGATCTTCATTGAGAGGGAACTTGCTACCTTCAGAGGCCACCCCTTCCACTTCCGGACAGCTCAGACTGACAGGAAGTTGTATCTTAGGTCAAACCTGAATTTGCCTCTGCAGTTTCTACCCATTTCTCCAAGTTCTCCCCCTGGGAGTAAAATAGAAGTCTAATCCTTTCAGGGGGTAGCCCCTCAAGTAACTGAAGATAGCTGTCCCAGTCTCCACCCCCAGCCTTTTTTTTCCCCTTCCTCACCAGGCTAAATATTTACAGCACTCCAGAAGCAATCTAATCCTGGCAGAGTACACCAATAATTAAAAATAATAAACAACTAGCATTTATCTCTCTAAGGTTTGCAAAGTGCATTACAAATATTATCTCATTTGATCAGAACTACCTCCTTATCTCAGGATACTTTGCATATCTTACAGGAACCTGAGATCACATTAACTTCCTAGGCTGCTATAACACATTGTTGACTCATATTGAGTTTCCAGGAACTAAAAACCCCAGAGCCTTTTCAGGTTGTTGTTTAGCCATGTTTCTACCATCTTGCCATTTTGTGTCTTCTTATTTCTTATGTTTCCCACTGGGAGACACCTAGATTCCTAGAAAAGCTAAGTGCCTGGGGGTTCTTAGGTTGGAATGGGACCAGAGCAGAAAACTTCCCAGCCCTGGGGTATCAGACATTTGGAGAAAGTAGGAGAGGGGAAAGGTGTGTTGGGAACTCTGGTTCTCTTCCCTCCCCAACCAACAACGAATCAGCCAGATCCAAGGGCAGAGCAAGGGACCTAAGGTCAAAAAGGAATGCTTTCCCCTAGGGCTTCCCTAAAACCATGATTCCCATACACTGGGGACCTTATAATATAGCCCTTCTTCCTTCACCCAGCCCCCAAACTGCTCCCTCTGAAAGTATAACTCTGCCCCTATTTGATTGCCCCTGAGACCACCCTAAATCCTTTCCTCATACTTCCTCTTCTCCTCCCCAACACTCATCTTTCTTAGAACCATCTTATCCCTTCCCTCCTGGCATCCCCTTCTCCTAGAACCTGAAAACAACACCGCCCCCCCCCCAACCTCTTCCCTTTTCACGAGGTCTCCTAGACCCTGTTCACCACCAGGGCTCTCTCACCTGAAGTGCCAGCACCAGGCCCAACATTAGGGATTCCAGCAGCAGTAGGAACCGCATGGTGTCTGTGTGTCTGGATCAATATGATGGGGTAAGGTCCAAGGGAAGAGTTGGAGTCAAAGTAAGATAAACTCCAACCAGGCTGAGCCCCCTCCCCCTGACCCTGACCCAGGTTCAGGGCCCAGAGCCAGTGTATTCTTGACAGAGGGAAAGACCAGCCTTCCTGGGAGAGGCAGGACTAGGCTAGATTTGTCTAGAGAGAGTGAATAAGGAAGGGGCCATGATATAGAGTCTCTGGGACTTCTTCCCTTGTGAGTATGAATCATGGATGGGTTCAGGTGAGGAGGATAGGCTTTCTGAATCTGCTGTCTTTGACTCTAATCCTTTCTTGTTAACACACCAAGGTCTAGTTCTGCCACTCACTACTTCTTGAACCTTGGGAAAGTTACTTTGCCTCTTTCATCCATCTATAAAACTAAAGAGTTGGTAAGGAGGTAGCATGGTAGAGGAGAAGAAACACTGACAGGAATCCCATCAAGGATTTGGCTTCTAGTACTTCATTTAATGCTTACCTTCTAATGTGATTCTGAGCAAGTCATTTAACTTCCCTCAGCCTCATTTTCCTTATCTCTAAAGCGAGGGGGTCAGACTATAAAGTTCCTCTCAGTTCTAGATCTATGAACTTATGAAGAGATGATTTTTAAAAAGCACTTCTAGCTTGACATCTTGTGAACTAATTTTCTCAGTCCATTCCATTATAGCATAGTCTTAGTTGTTACACAGTTTTTCCTTATAGAAAATGGAAATCTACCTTGCTGTTTTTCTATCCACTGCTCTTACTTCTGACCTCTGGTGCCAGGCACTTCAAATGTTTTTAGACTATGTCCATACCCCTCCTAAGTTGTCTCTTAAAATGATTGAAATTAACAGGCTAACCATTCATAATTTCTTTACCCTATCTTCATATAATGTGATTTTAAGTCCCCTTTCCATTTTGGTTACCCTCTTCTAGACACACTACAGCTTGCCAATGTTCTTTCTAAAATGTAGCATCTACAACTGACCACGGTACTCCAGATATAGTCTGACAATGATGGAGAATAGTAGGACTATCACCTCATTTGTTCTGGATCCATTATGTAAAGTAGAATCCCTTCTGGGGTCACCTCTGGTTCTGGAAAGTTGGGTTCCTTTAGGGGTCGCTACTAGTTAGGGTTCCAAGGGTAACCCTGCAGGTAGCTATCTTAATACTGAATCTCATGAGACTCCAATGGTTTGTTTCCCTTTAAAAATCAGTCAGTAGACTCAGTTCTTTAACAATGACTCTTGCTTAAATTGTATAACAAAAACAGTAGTTACAAAGCATTACCCCCAAATTTGGGGCATGAAGTCTACCATTGTATTCTAAGTGTGTGCCCACTTTTCCCCTCATGGACTCTGTATTTGTGGGAGATTGCAAGACAGACTGGACACTCTATCCATTGCTCATGATCTCTCAAATCTCTCCAAAATAGGACTTATGCACAAGAGATAAGACAATTTCAGCTGCCTCTATGGTCAAAAACCCTAATGAAGCAACAATCCAATGAACAAAGAAGGCTAATTCCTAATTCCTAATGCCCTCACTCAATACTTCTCCCTCATCACTCACTATGCTTGGGCAGTGCTACATGAGCCTAGCAAAGGGCTTACCACTCAACTTAATTTTACTCACCACCTCTCTCTCCCATCTTCCTGTGCCACAGAAAACCAAAAGGTATTTTTAGACAGGAGCATGGCAGTGCTCTGTGCTGCAACAGAGCTCAGCCAAAGAACTAAGGAACAGATAGAAATGACAAAAGGCACATGTGTGTGCCTGTGTGGCACTCCACTAAGCCTGAGGGAAAGAGCCCAGTATGCAGCTGGGACCAGCCCTGTCCCCCCATAAGTCACTTGAGGCAGAGACTGAAGTCAGTGAAAGGTGAATTGCCCTATAGGGCAGGAGCCTGATAGAGTTTTGAGGTCTAGACACCAGGTAAACTATCACTAAAGGAGAAGGAGTCAAAAAGTGAGCAATAGAAATATAAAAGACCAGAATTATCAAAGATCTAAGGGGGAAAGAAAATCCATTAACGACCTTGAGCATTAATAGATAAATCAATAGGGAACATATTAATAACAGACAGAAATATATCCACCCAGATCAACTGAAAGAGTACAGACATTTTTGAATAAATATTGCAAGACAAAGGAAAATTACTACCTGATGAGAACAGAGGGCCCTGTGGATTCCCAAGAGAGCACAGAACCACAGCAGGTGTTCCTGAATAGATTAAAGAGAAATAAGAATTGTGAAAGCAGAATTTATGACTTACACAGCAGAAATATTTGGCAACATAATGGTACATAAATTGTTCTCAAAAACTGAGAATTACTCTATCAGGTTCTGTTTATGAGACAAATATAGGCCTAATACCTAAAGCAGTGAAGGATGAAGCATAGAAGAAGAACCATAGACCTATATCATTAATGAATACAAAAAAAAAGTTAAACAAAATCCTGTCAAATAGACTACAACAATTTATCCAAGAAATCATTCATCATGTCCAAGTTAGATTTAAAACCAAGGATGTAAGGATGATTCAACATTGGGAAAACACAATTAATCATACATCTAAGTCCTGATTAGTACAGATAATGAATCTCCTTAAATGATCATATCATTTGAATTCACACTGCATATTTCCATTGAGCTAGAACTAATCACTATATTTTACAGAATTATAACTTCAAGTAGGATGAGTTTGAGTACATGGGACCATTTCAATGGATTCATTATTTGAACTAATTGAGACCTAGCTATACTATGAAATAAAAAAAACCCAAACCACATGATTTTCTCAATATACGGGGGGAGAAAAGGCTTTGATAAAATATAGCACTCATTTATGCTGAAAACAAAAACATTTACACACACAAAATATAGGAGTAAAGAGATTTTTTTAAAATATCATAAAAATTATTTACCCAAAGCCAAAATCAAGCATCATGTGCAATAGAGATACACTAGAATCTTTCCAAATAAATAAATACAGGAGTAAAACAAGGATGATTACTCTTCATGCTATTATTGTATATTGTTTACCTAATATGTTCCACTAATCAATCTCTCTATTTCTTATCCAGTACCAAATTGTTTTGATGATTATAGCTTTGTAGTATAGTTTGAGATCTGGTACTGTTAGGCCACCCCCCCCTTGCATTTTTTCTTCATTTATTCCTTATACTAATTTTTTTTGTTCATCCAGATGAGTTTTGTTATTATTTTTTTAGTTCAGTAAAGTAATTTTTGGTAGTTTGATTGGTGTGGCACTAAATAAGTAAATTTAGGTAGTATTGTCATTTTTATTATATTGGCTTGACCTACTCATGACCAATTAGTATTTCTCCAATTATTTAGATCTGTCTTTATTTGTATGGAGTGGTTTATAATTGTGTTCATATAGTTCCTGTGTGTGTCTTGGCAAGTAGACTTCCAAGTATTTTACACTATCTATGGTTATTTTAACTGGAATTTCTCTTTTATCTTTTCCTTCTGGATTTTGTTAGTAATACATAGAAATGCTGATGATTTGTGCTCCCTGCACTATTATTTGATATAGTTCTTGAAATGCTAGCAAGAGCAGTAAAAGAGAAAGAAATTAAAGGTGTAAAAATAGATAAAGAGGAAATAAAATCATTTGTATTTGCTAACATGATGATTTACTTAGAAAAGCCTAGGGAATCAGCAAAGATAGTAATTAAAATAGTAGCTTCAACAAAGTTGCAGGCTACAAAAATAAATCCTTAAAAATAAAAAGTGTTTCTATATAATAATTACAAGATCCAGGAGGCAATAATAGAAAGGGAAATCCCATTCCAAATGACTAAAAAAAACCACACAAAATATCTGAGGATCAACCTACCAAAGCATACAAAATACTTGTAGAAATTCAATTTACAAGTGCTCCTTATGCTAAAATGGATAATTTTGATTACATAAAACTTTAAAGGTTTTGCCCAAAGAAAACCAATGAAGCTAAAATTAGAAGAAAAGCAGGAAACTAGGGGGGGAAATTGTAGCAAGTTTCTCTAATAAAGGTCTTACTTCCACAGAGAACTAAGTCAATTTTATAAGAACAAAGCCAGATGGTCAAAGGATACAAATAGATATTTTTCAGAGAAAAAAATCAAAACTATTAATAGTTATTTTTTAAATACTCTAAATTACTCACATACAAATTAAAACAACTCTGAGGTACCACCTCACACTAATCAGATTGGTAAGACATCAAAAAAGGGAAAATAACAAATGCTAGAGGGAGTGTGAGTAAATAGGTACACTAATGCACCATGGTAGAGTTGTGAACTAGTCCAACCATTCTGGAAAATAATTTGGAACTAGGCCCAAAAAGCTATTAACCTGTACACACGTCCTTTGATCCAGCAATACCTCTATTAGATCTATTGCCCCAAAGAAATCAAAGAAAGAAGAAAAAGACCCATATGTACAAAAATATTTATAATAGCGTTTTTTGTGTTAGCAAAAAACTGGAAATTGAAGGGGTGCCCAGCAATTGTGGAATGTCTGAACAAATTATGGCATATGAATATGATGGACTATTATTGTGCTTTAAGAAATGATAAAGGGGATGGTTTCAGAAAAACCTGATAAGTCTTCTATGAACTGACACAGAGTGAAGTAAGCAGAACCAGGAGAACAATTTACATAGTAACAGCAATATTGTAAAGATAATCAACTTTGAAAGCCTTAGCAACATTGAACAGTACAATGACCAACCACAATTTCAAGGATTCATGATGGAACATGCCATCTACCTCCAAACAGAGAACCAATAGGCTCAGAGTGCAGACTGAAGCATATTTTCATCTATTTCTTTCTTTCTTTTGGGAACATGGCTAATATGGACATTTGTTTTGTATGACTATACAAATTTGTAATAAGTTTTTTTCTTACTTTTTCAATGAGTGGAGTTAGGGAGAGAATCTGGAACTGAAAATAAAATGAAATTCAATTTTTTAGAAGTACTCTTGAAAGAAATAACTTAAATAGCTTGAAGAATATTCA